AAGGGCGAAAAACATCACTTGTCCGATATTGTAAATAACACGTCCCGAACGGTGGGACGTGTGCTTTTTCCGCACACTGAGGGTGTTGATATATGTACATTATGATTACAGACTTTTAAATGGCAACAGTTTCCATGATTTCACATGTATTGATAGCATTCTGCTTTTCTTGGTCCAGGTAATGTAGAGGAGGCTCGTGACATCCTGAAGTCCCTGGAGGCATTAGTCCCCGGTCTGGCCATGGTGCGTCTGAGGAGGGTCAGTCTGGAGCGGCGCCACGGTAACTTGGAAGAAGCGGAAGCCATGTTGAGGGAGGCCATGGAGTCTGCGAAGAATGCTACTGAGACATCGTTCTACGCTGTGAAGTTGGCCCGGCAGATGATGAAGGTGCAGAGAAGTCTGAGCAAAGCCAGGAAGGTGCTGCTGGATGCTATCGAAAAAGACCAGGTGAGATGCATAATGGTCATCATGGAAACTTAAAGAGCCAGCTAGACCTTTTTATAAAATCATAAAATATTGCATTATGGCAACGTTTTATGTCTTAAAAACAGTCATGCAGTAAATATAACTCACTTGCATGCTGTATGTATTAATCAACATGCTCACAAGTGGCAAAGTGCTCCGTAGAGACCTGTAAAAGGTTCAAACAAGTTTCTACAGACCAACACACTCCCAGGATAACCTCTACTCTGAATTACTGCTGCACTGTTAGTGTTTTCTTCCCCAAAAAAATCACGTTCTATGCATCTGTGACTTTTTCAAGAGTAGGTTATATTTGAATTCTACCAGATGGCAAGTTTTGCATTTGATGGAAATCAAAGATTACACTGCTATTAAGCTATATTTTTGTAGAATAAATTAAACTAGGAATGCCAAGAGAATCTCCAGTCCTCATGCAACAATGGTGAATTGTACCACATTCCACTAAGGCTGTTTTGCACTTGTTGTGTGACGCGCATTAACACTTTTGTGGCTTTACAGACAAGTCCAAAGCTCTATCTGAACCTGCTTGACCTGGAATACAGTGGAGACGTGACACAGAATGAGGCTGAGATCTTGGCCTGTTTCGACCGGGCCCTGCAGAGCCAGATGCCCCTGGAGTCCCGCCTCCTCTTCTGTCAGCGCAAGGTTGAGTTCCTCGAGGACTTTGGCAGTGACGTCAATGTGTGAGTTTCATTACTTTAGGAGTAATGTCGGAAAAAAAAATCCTTTTTGTGTCATGTTTGATACTGACTATTTTTCTTTATCGTACACCTTTTAGGCTTGGGGCTGCGTATGAGGAACTTCAAAAACTACAGAAAGAAAGCGAACCCGCGAAGAGGAAAGCCGAGAACGGGTATGACAGGTGGATAAGGGAACAGGGATGGGCCACAACAACATATTTTCATGTCTTCAAGAACAAGATTAATAGCAATCAATTAGTGTATTAGTCATTGTATCACAGTAAATGGTAATGCACTCCTAAGACTTTGTTTCTTTGTGAACGGCTTCACAAAGGATTATACTAATTTGACATTTTCGTCTCCAGCGCTCAGGAGCCTGACTCTAAGAGGCAGCGGGTGGAGGACGGTTCAACGGGTGCGGCAACAGCAGCGACGGACCCAGCGGCAAACAACACTGCATACAACAACTGGTACCAGGTGGGTTTTCTATTTGATCTCTAAACAAGTTTTCACACCAAGCACGCATGGCCATTTACAGATGTTATTATGAGCATTTTTAATAATGCATTTTGATCAAAAAGGACTGACGAGGTATACTGAAGTTGTGGGTAGAGCTGCAGAGGACTATGGCTCCACAAACATCTCCCTTGTGGCTAAGTGTTGCAGATTGATAGATGGATTTCATGATATTATCATTGAAATTACTTTATGCTAGCGTACGTAAGCACCATTGTTCATTTCGTCAAAGAAAACTATAACAAATGTTTCATCAACGGCCTTTTTTAACACGAGACGGTGACGAGCTAAAAATAGATTCTTGATAATAAAAACTATGACGAAATGTATATTTAGTTTTCGTTGACGAGACGGGACTAAGGTGTCAATGGTGGACTATCGGACATTCATAATGCAGGATATTTTCCCCCAATTCTCGGTCTTGTCTGTCAAAATGCATGTTACGTTTCTATTGCAATATCATTATTTCCGCTCTCTTCACTCCAGAAGAGCGATCTCCCTAGAGGCTTCTCAATTCTTAAATTTCCCCTCCTCGACTTAGTCCCGCCCACAGGAGATGCGAGCGGAGGACCGAGGAGGGGAACCGAGGAGAGAGGAGGGGAAGCAGCAGATGTTTAAAGAAATGAGAACTCCTCTCCTCTGAGCGGTCATTTTAAAGAGACATCCGTTCATTATTACGTGGCAACAGCTGCATCAGCTGTCAAGTGTTTTGTCATAGCGCTGTATCTCTGTTAGATCAGCTGAACATTGTTCCCCCACATATTTACTTTGAATTCATTGAGAGTGCGGTATATGAGACAATAACAGGCTACAGATGCGGGGACACACATATAAATATATACAATTTAAAGTATGAGAGCACTCTCATAATAACGTAACACAATCAGAGACTGGATATATCCCCCCCTCTCTCTGGTCGCTGAAATGGGGAATTAAAATTACGGGCCAAAAGTTGTATTAAAAGTAAGCAGAGGACACCAAACCAACTGAGACCCGTCTGTCCGCCGCATCTACACACTGTACCACACACACCTACACACTGTACCACACACACCTACAGCTCCTAAAGCATATAATCAGGCTACAGCCGTTGTGTATTTTATTATGTGAAGCACTAAATGGTTTTAGAAAAATATCTTTGTTTGTAGATATCTACTAAACTAAAGCAAATAAAGAGAGTAGGCCTGTTATACTGAGTGATATATATTATACACACTGCTCTGCTTTCTGCACGGACCTTACAGCTGTTCTCTCTGGAAACATCGAGTAGCGATGAAAGCAGTTTCTAAAATAATAGAGCTGTCATTGGCTGAGATAAGTCCGGCCGTGCGTCACGCCTCCACCGTTCCCGTAAATGGAGCCGTGGAGGAACCATCAGTGTATCCTCGGTTAGAGCTCCTCCAGAGAGCCTCCTCAACGCTCGGTCCTCGGTGTGCCTTTAGAGAAATTAGATGTCCTTCAAAATGGCGCGCTGAAATTCATTTCCGGGTCACTACCGGAGGACCGAGGAGTCGAGGAGGGGGATTTGAGTATTGAGAAGCCTCTTATGTCTCGTCTGTGTGCGGGGGGCGGGGCCTAACAGACACGCTGCAGCGGCGTGCACACAGATCTTTGAGAGGAGTAGTAACGTTAAAAAAGATAGCCATCCCTAGATATTACACAAGTAAAGTGTTGAGAGTGAAACGTTGCTTTACGAATTTCAACACTTCACATTGATTCCAATTTCAGATACCTGTATTCAACTGAATTAGTTTAAAGAGAGAAAACATTTTGATTAAAAGTTGACTAAAATGTAATGATTTTTCATCAACCAAAACTGGACTAAAACATTTTGAGTTGTCGTCGACTAAAACTATGAAGGATAAAAAGGACTAAAATGTCACTAAAACTAATAACCATTTTCGTCTTAAGACTAAATCAAAGATAGCTGCCAAAATGAACACTGTAAGCACACATCGTGTTATGAATACAGGAAGAAAATATGATTGGATTTTTATATATAAAGTACAGGGAAATTGAGTTTTTTATATTTTTCATATATTGCTTAATACGTCGATATTACCGGGATTGTGATTCTAAATGGACATTTCTCCTTTTACCTTGGCTTTAAGTTCATGTTTTATTTAACCATGCTGAAATGTTTTTAGTATTTGTAGTAATTTTCTCTTTTCTTTCCGTCTTCATCAGCAACAGTACGGTGGTTGGGGACAAAACTCCTGGGGACAGTACAACCAATATGCCCAGTATAACCAGTACTACCCCCCTCCCCCAACATAATGGACAAACCCCTAACATGAAGATGAAGACTCAGAGGAAAGCATCCATTGTGACCTGCCTAAATCTCTGTTCATGGTTACATAACATGATGCCTTAGAGATTTCAATCCAACCATGAAAGCTGTTTTGTTCCTTCTTTCTGGGTTAAATTCTACTAATAAATTAAACTTTGTACCAATTGGTTGGAATATAATACTCATTGCCCTCGGTGACATTGTGTTGATGAGTTATGATCTTCAAAGAATACTCAATATGAATTGTTATATTTTTCATCTCCAACACTGGCTGTTCTGAGTTCTTTAATGCATGTTATTTGTGAAGGCAGATATATTTTTCTTGTGTGATTAAAGCTTTTACATTTTTAGTTTTGATGACTTAGTTTGGTCTCTTTCTGTGTTTAACATTTGAACTTGTAAAGGAGGCTTTCATGGATGCACCTCTTGAGTCGTGTTTTTCTCCCTCTCAAAACTGAAAGATTTTTAATATTACATGGTTACGTTTCCATACAGAAAATGAACAGTTCTTCCTTTTTTTATTTTGAATTTATTTCATAATAAAGAGATTGGTATCCTAACGTGTCACTGGTTGAATCCATCATTTCATTCCTTATTGGTAAATTATGTTCAGAGGCATTAAACATTGTTAAATTCATGTTTTTAGTACAGAGACACATTACATTAATCACTATGGAATTTAAAAGCAATTGTGCTCTATAAAGCTGCTGTGTTAGAGCTGATGGCTTTTATTTTTAATTGCATTTTATTTTAGTGAGTGAAGTGAATAATTGAATCTAGTTTTAAACGGGTGAATTGCCCTGATAAACCAAGGTCTGCTCAAGCCACTGCTTGTTAATAAAGACCTGGTTGTCTAGAAAATGTATTGATTTAGTTCCATCTTAAATTAAAGTGATATTTATGGAGCTTTGAGCATAATGTTTTGATAAATCACATGCACTTCTTGAGTAATATATGGTAAAAACTAAGATGTGCAACTTCAATAACTGCAGCACCCGACTTCAAAACGTAAGGGGAGTGGCCACAGCTTCCGACGTGGCTACGTAATTCAGCACATGCGCACTTTCAGCCCTTATACAGCCCTTTCTATGCCTAGCGTTGAACGACTAGCATCAAACGAGGTAAGGCCTGTGCAATTTTAGTGAAAAACCCAATATTTGTAAAACCCTGAAACGTTTGGTTTAGCAATAATGTACCAATATCCCAATGTCTACCAAGTTATACTTTATTTGAGCAGTTACGAGATATTCAAGGGTTTTTAAAACGACTTTTTGAAACGCGTTCCCCATGTGGCTAGTTAAGCTAGCATAGCATTAGTGAGTTACCGATAGAGACGAGGCTGTTCCAGTTCCCGGCATGTTGCTGTGCACTGCTGCTCCTGAGTTTTCAACATTTCCCTTTTTATTTCGTGCTGTTCTTTTTTCGTTTATTACGTTGACGTTATTCAACAATTCCTGTACATTGGCTCAAAGTTAAGGGCCTGCCGTACAACGTTTGCTGTCACAGATATTTATTACGCCACTAGCTGATATCCCCAATACAGCTATAGTAGTTTCCTTCCAAATCATATTAAATACTATTCTTAAAGTCCGATCAGTTTGAAATGTACTTCAAAAATGCTGCACTTTGCAATGTCCCTTAGTGACACATTTTGTAAAGACCTAACTTTATTCTGGAATCCTTTGGATAACATTGACTTTTCTTTACTGGGAAATGTACACTTTCTAATATAAAATAACTTGAAAATTACAATATAAATATATATTAAAATGAAATGTTATTTTTTTAGCAAAGTATCATTCAGTCATGAATCCTCTTAACTTTGTCTGATTTTGAAGCTTCCTCAGAGCATTCTAAAAAAAACTGCATTCTTAAAACTATTTTAACTTTACAAATAACAGTGCAAACATTTATGTTCTTTGTTTTACTCTTATAAAACATTTCCCGCAGCTTTAACGTTTTGTCTGAATTTGAATACATTTGATATCAAGAACAAAAACAAGTTTCCTAGCAGAGTGACCTAGTAATGACATTAATGACTAAGTCGCTTTGCTCTTTTCTTGTTTCCTTGCAGCATCAAGATGCAGCTCTTCTTGCGTTCCCAGAGCACTCACACCCTTGAGGTGACCGGACAGGAGACAGTTGGCCAGATTAAGGTAAAATGTTTACACGTTGTTGAAAAGACGCCACACCTTTTTGATCTTGAATAGAGTACTGTTTTCAATCATCTGTATGAAATCTAGCAATGATTTTGATGGAAAGTGCTTTGATTAAAAACGTTCTTGTTGTGTGTCTTAGGCCCATCTCCAGGGTCTCGAAGGTTTCCTGGTTGAGGATCAGGTGCTGTCCCTTGCTGGGTGCCCACTGGAAGATGATTCTTCCCTGGCATGCTGTGGAATCTCCGAGAACTGCACCCTGGAAGTAGCTGCTAGGCTGCTCGGAGGTCAGTACACTGATGCAAACCTTTTCATTTTCTATTGGTTTGGTCTGGCTATACTTCTGGCTGTCATGATTCGAAAAACCACCACCCCTAAATCACAAGCCATAATTTGCAAGATCATTTAGCCTAATGTTTTCATTAGACAAAGGTTTGGGAGCCTTTAGTGTTTTTAAATGGGAACAGTATTTGGCCTGAACAATTGCAGGAGCTTTAGTTTGTCAGGAAAATATAATGAACCCTTTCCTTTCCTCCTCAGGTAAGGTTCACGGATCTCTGGCCCGTGCTGGAAAAGTGAGGGGACAGACACCCAAGGTATGACTTTCTTTTCTTCTTTCAAACCTGTTTCAATGTATTAACTCATCCTTTCATATGAACAACTTAACTGGCCTCAAGAATACAGTTGGAATGTGAATTTGTTAAGAATAAGAGATTTTTTTTTCTGTCATGTTGTCCAGGTTGAGAAGCAGGAGAAGAAAAAGAAGAAGACCGGCCGTGCTAAGCGTCGCATCCAGTACAACAGACGCTTTGTGAATGTGGTGCCCACCTTCGGAAAGAAGAAGGGACCCAACGCCAACTCCTAAGTGCACCAATGCTTAACGGGAGGAAAACGACCACCGCTCTTTTTTGACCAGGCTTAATGTTATCTTTCTGTACAGAATAAATATTTGGCTTGGAAAAAATGTTGTTTTGTGTTATGTCCTTCAATTTAAGTGATTCCCTTACATTGCTGGGAACTGTTCATCTTCAACGTATTACCCGGTTACAGAAATGTACTCGTTAAATAGTTGAACTTTATATGCAGTTATTTACCTGCCTTTTCTTAAAATAAATTGAGCATCTGGTATTGATGGACAAGAGATACGGTTGTGACCAGAATATGTAAAATATCTGAGACTAAAAAACATTTTATGGTGTCTTTCAATTTAAATGATTCCCTTACTTTGCAGAAACTGTAACGTATTACCCCGTTACAGAAATGTATGGTATCCCTTTTCAAATGGCAGGCTTTTAGTTAAAATGGTACTGGCTGAACTTAATATGCAGTTTTTATAAATTGAGCATCTGGTGTACGAGAGATACGTGGTTGTGACCAGAATGTCAAATATCTTTGACGAATGCACAACTAGTCATGGCTTTTATACCAGAACGGTAAAGATATTGATGTTCTACTTAATGGATCAAAATAGTTTTCCTATACCAATGACACCCTTGTGTGTGTAATTAATACACAATTGTCATCCAAACCTATAGTTGTACAATCGACTGAGATGGAAGCCACATGTTTGGTCTCTGAAACAGGTTTATTAATCATTTACATTACACATGCAAAAGAACAACAAAAGAAAAATACAGAGAATAAGGTTTCAGGGTGTCTCATTATGTACAATATTGACAAGCCATCACATTCTGGCCAAAACTTACAACGCTGCAATAACTGGTAATCGTATTGATGAATGAGACAAAGTAGGAACAGTATGGCGCAATCCAAATGCCATTTTAACATGATCCTTTACAGCCAGGTCATTTGAGTATTTCTTTTCTTTTCCTGGCACTTGACGGTTAGTCCACAGCAACCAGCTCAATCTCGAAGAACAGTTTCGCGTTGGGTGGAATTCTGGAAGAGCTTGAGTTAAGGAACATTTGGCATTCAATACGAAATGAACAGTTACCAAAAAATCAGATTAAAGCTGCAGTACATGAAAAAAAAAAAGTACTAACCATACAATACCTGATTACACATGTAGGTGAAAAAATGTACATCATTTATATTTTCATGCCATAATACCACAAGTCCAGCAGAAAGGATACTTTGAGTCGGGGAGACCCTTTCTTCCGTAGGCCCACTCTGGTTCAATCTCTAGGCGAGATGTTTCGCCCTTGCTCATCGTCAGAATGCCCTCATCCCACTGTGAAAGTAATGGATTATCAATAACGGCATGCGGTGGAGGAGAAGTGACATGATCAGGAATTGACAAGAGTTTATATGCAGAGCCTAAACATCCGACTTACTCCTCTGATGACTCTGCCAAGGCCAACTTTGAAGCTCAGGGGTTTAGATTGCTTCTTCTTTCTTGCCGCTGCAGAGAGAAAACAGTCAGCTAAACTGGCACAGATTTTATCTGTATTCATGACCATAAAGGACAAATGCCATTACAGATCAAAAAGTAAAAAGGGATGGTTACATTACAGGTCAAGGTTTCTCACAAGCATTGTTTCTTAAAAATATTATGGGTGCAGTATCACTTTAAAGTAGAGGTTTGTCATACTTGTGGGAAGATTAGTGTCAAAGACGGTTCCATCCTCCAAGCTACCAGTGTACCAGCAGCTCACGTTCTCGCCTTTCTTTGGAAAGTTGGTTTTGTCACCTTTCTTCAGCACTGCCTTTTTGAATTTGGGTGGACCCTGAGAAAAAAGCAACACAGGAGGGGTTAAAAGTAGTTTGAATGTGTGCAAATTAAAATATCGCAAATACAAAAATTCTTCCCAAACCCCTCAAAATGAAACACCCTGGACCAGTACCTCATCAATAACCTCTGCCGGTAGTTCTTTCTTATCTTCGATTTTCACAGTTCTAATCTGCTCGGTCACATCTTCAACTGGTTCTGTGCCTTTAAACCGCTGCAAAGGACAAAGCAAGTATAAAACACATACATTTTTGATTGAATGTGAGGCAGTCCACATACATTAGACCATCCCCACTTGCATGTGTGCAACATCACATCTCAATATCACTTACTTTGCTCTCAAAGAGCTGATTATAGGCAATAATCAGTTGTTCTTTCTTTGCCGTTTTTGCAACACTTTTTAAGTTTCCCAGCAGCTTGTGCTCGTTGAGGAACTAAAAGGGGAAAAGAATGAAATAACAAATAGAAAGTTAGCAGAAAGTTAGCAGATGATAACTTAGTGCACCATCATGCGTAGGCTCTTGCTCAATAAATAGTTTCGGTCATGGCAAAAATAAAGACACATAAAAACCACGTTTTCATTTTTTTTTTAAATGCAACCGTTTCTGATCCGGGTCCAACTCAAACGAATTAGCTGTGGTTACTATTCAAACAGGGCATCACATTTCGTATAAACATGTCTGTGTTTCTGCATTGAGTGCTAAAACACAACAGCATTGCTGATGTTGCTACGCTAAGCTAACCACGCAGCATGCTGCATCTCAAAGTGTGCGTTAATGTTTATCCTGCAGAATTTCAAACAAAAATAGCATAAAGGCTAACGCTATAAACATACCGAGTGTGCTGCATTGTCCTGAATGAACGTTATTACGTCTTTTTTGGGCAAATCATCACTTTTGAGCTGCTCATCGCTCCATTCCCGTGTTGGTTCATCCGCCATTTTGAGAGGCGAATGGTTAATTTTGACCCTCCTGGCGTATCTTAAAACCCGCAATGACTTTTTATTTTTTTATTTTTTTAAAATTATTATTATTTAAGTGTTTTAATCATTCAATTATAAACCTTTGACTATATAATCAATTGTAAAGTGTTATCCTTCACGATTTAATAATTTTTTTTAAACGCAGTGAAGTGGGTGAAAAAAATCCCCCCCCGAAAAACATTAAATATGTGAGAGAGGGAAATTACATCTCTCTGATTTGTGTCCTGCCACCTAGTGGACAAATACAAGATTACACAAATAGGCATGCACTGCAGTGGAAGCATACTGGAACTAAACATAAACAATAATATAACTATTTTATTTGAGACAATTTTTGACATACTATAATATGTTGTTTTTATTGATGTTTTCGACATAGATACTATTACTTTTTAACTGATATTTTCCACATACTATACTTTGTCGTTTTATCTGATATTTTCAACATACTATATTTGTATTGATATTTTCAACATACTATATTTGTATTGATATTTTCAACATACTATATTTGTATTGATATTTTCTACATATTTCTACTATTTAGTTTTTCCTTATATTTTCAATTTCAACAAATTATATAATTCGACATGCAATGCTTTTTGATATTTTCAAAAGCGTATACTATGTTTTTCTTTCTGATATTTTGACATACTTTACCATGACCTTTTTTTGGGATATATTTTGACATACTATACTATTACTTTTTTGGGGATATTTTCGCTTCTGATATCTATGACATCATTTTTTATATATTTTGCAATACTATGATTTTTTTGGGGATATTTTTGACATACTATGACTTTTTTTATGACGTGTTTTCGACAAATTATACTATGCATTTTTTCTGATATATTTTGACATACTGTATATGACCTTTTTTTCGACAAACTATACTTTGTCTTTTTTTTAAATATATATTGACATACTGTACTATTACTTTTTTTCCGATATATTTGGAAATACTATGAATTTTTTCGGGATATTTTCAACGTTACATTTCATTTTTTGTTAAATCTTTCAACATACTCCGTGGTTTGTATGTATTTAAATTATATTTTCAACATACTGCTATATGATCTTTTTGAAGGCAGGTAACCACAGAGTCTCATGTGTTCTGTCAGTTCGCGGCCTCCTGCTGCCTTTCCAGAGTTATCATGTCAGTCTCATCTTTACTGCATCACTCTGCCTTTCAGTTGGTTTTTTAACATACTATACTATGTTATTTTATTTATGTTTTCGACATACTATGAATTTCTTCATGATATTTTCGACATTTATACTATTTTGTTTCTTAGGATATTATCAACATACTATACTATGATGTTTTATTTATATTTTTGATACACTATAGTATTTCGTTTTTTCTGATATTCCCAACATACTATTCTATGACTTTTTTTTGGGATATTTTCAACATAATATACTAAGTAATTTTTTCAACTATAGTGTGATGTGTTTTTCTGTTATTTTCTACAAACTATAACAAGATGTGTTTTTTTTACATACAGTACTGTGCTATGATGTATTTCGACCAACAATGCTATGTTTTTTGTATATTTTCATTATACTATAATACGTTTTTCTTTTTATATAATTATATTTTTAACATACAATGCCATGCTGTTTTTTCTGATATTGTTGACATTGTGGTTTTGTTATATCATTTTTTTTACATACTATTCTGTGGGATTCTTTCAGTTTTTTTTAACAAACAATACTAGGTTGTTTTTTCTGATAATTTACATACTATTTTTCTTAAATATAAACATGTTCTAAATACAAAACTATGACTACAATACAGTATTTTCCAAGTACTCTACTCTTCTGAGATATTAAGACCATATTATGTTTAAAGAAAACAACACATTGTAGTATTATTATTTTTTATTTATTTTTTGTTATTTTTCGCAAAGCTTTACTTGTCGTTTTTTTGGTAAATCTTTCAACATACTCTGTGGATTTTTATGTTTTTTTTAACATACTATACCATGACGTTTTAATTTAAATAATTCCACATACACATACTGCTATATGATCTATATATCCGTCCTGGGAGAGGGATCCCTCCTCTGTTGCTCTCCCTGAGGTTTCTCCCATTTTTCCCCTTAAACTGTGGGTTTTCTCTGGAAGTTTTTCCTTGTACGATGTGAGGGTCTAAGGACAGAGGGTGTCGTTTTTCTCATACTGATATTCTGAACAATCTGTGCTGTTGTATTTGCTGTAAAGTGTCTCTACTGTAGGCTATTTTTATTTTATGTACAGCACTTTGGCTCGACCAAAAATCGTTTAT